CCCAGCGCAAAGCACAAGGCTGGCGTGCGGAGTGAAGCGGGAAACAAGTGCGACTGAGAGAAAGGAAAAAACAAAACAAAAAAAACCCATGGCTCCCAATAAGGAGCAGGCTTGCGTCGTTCACTCGCGACCGACACATCACTAGAAAGAGAGAGACAGCAAGTTTTGAGATGTGAGAGATTTGTGACGTTTAGCGTATAGTGCACTGTGTTGTCTTGTGTAGTCGTTTTTTTGTTTTGTGTAGCAGTGAGGGCACTAATGAATGTCACAAAGGCAGATTGCAATGTAAACGCTGTCTCCAGGAGAGTGATACACCTCCTGTTGTCAGGCCTGCAGGGTTTATCCCTGTGGTGGTCTCTTCTGTATTGTGTTTTTATTGGCACAAATAATTTGTGGGACATCTTATTGTGACACCTGATTGTTATAGTAGTATTTTTCAGTTGTTGTACAAAATTTAAAAAAACAACAACAAAAAAAAACAACCCATGAGATGCGTGGGCTGAATTACTAGATAAATAGTTGCATATAACTTTGTTTACAAAATGTATGCATAACTTTTCAAAAATTACTATTTATATTTCCATTTCAAGTTCTGAAAGTAATTTACTAAATATGTCTGTGGGTTTCACAGTAAAAAAAAATACTACGGTACTAGGATTTCATGTTTTTTGTGTGATTTCAGATCAGTTGTGTTAATACAGAATGTCAATGAAAAAATTACTGTAGATTCAGACACGTGAGGTTGTGCTGAAAAGAATGATACCAAGCAAGGCAAGGTAAAAAATCAAATCAAATAAAACCATTTGAAGGTGAAATACAAATGTAAAATCAAAAGTAGTCAAAAATGGCCAATTATATTTTGCACCTCAGAGTCCAAAATATAATCCCAACAAATCGTGAAAAATAAGGTTTTCATTTTTGTTCATGACAGTGTAAATTTGTGTGAATTCAAGCATGTACCAATCTGATTTTTTCTAACAAAAAAGTGAAACTTAAGTTAGACCTGTGTTTGTAAATCAACTGCCCCATATTGGGTTGCTTTCTGGATTTTATACTTATTGGTAGGGCAGGGCAATATGGCCAAAAATATTTATCACGATATATATTTGAAAATGTGCGATAACGATATAATTGACGGGAGACAAAATACTTTACAACTCCACAACTTTATTAGTGGGGGAAAAAAATCCATCAATCTATTTTCACTCAAACAAGCTGCTGTTTTTTTATGTGCATTAAAGTTATATAACAATCTAACAGTGCAAATGCAAATTCCTTGATGACAGTTTGGAATTTCCAGTGGATATTGGCCGACATATCCT